TCCCTGTGAACGGGGTTGGTGCGTACTAGTGGAACCTCGAGAGTTAACCTTCCCTGTGAACGGGGTTGGTGCGTACTGGTGGAACCTCGAGAGTTAACCTTCCCTGTGAACGGGGTTGGTGTCTCACTCATGGTTTTTATTTTAACGGTGAAGTGAGGTGGGAACAAGAAGAGAGATGAAGTGATTTACAGGACTTTAATGAGGACCAGCCAACCTTTTGAAACAGGATGAAGTGATGAGTGTTTGATTCGATTTATCCGACAGCTAGTCTTACTGGGGTCTGACACATAACGGAAAATACATTACAGACAAAAAAAAGACTTTTTACAGTATTAAAACTCTCACCTGTGGTACAGCAAAGTGCGCTATGGTAGACGGCATCCACAGGTGTAAGAGTAGTGGCTGCTGCATTCTGGTAAATGGAGTCACCATAGTCAGGAACTGGCAGGAAAGTTGACTGTACAATCCACTTCAACTGTAGCTCAGTTGGTAGGGCATGGAAAATGTAGATGAAGGAGAGGAGACAGGTTAAAGAAGGATTTCTAAGGATCTTTAAGCCTTGAGACAATTGAGACGTGGATTGTATGTGTGCCATTCAGAGGGTGAATGGGCAAGACAAAATATTTAAGTGCCTTTGAACAGGGTATGGTAGTAGGTGCCGGGCTCACCGGTTTGTGTCAAGAACTGAAACGCTGCTGGGTTTTTCACGCTCAACAGGTTCCCCGTGTGTATCAAGAATGGTCCGTCACCCAAAGGACATCCAGCCAATTTGACACAACTGTGGGAAGCATTGGAGTCATCATGGGCCAGCATCCCTGTGGAACGCTTTCGACGCCTTTTAGAGTCCATGCCCTGACGAATTAAGGCTGTTGTGGGGTTCAACTCAATATTAGGAAGGTGTTCTTAATGTTTTGTCCACTCAGTGTATTTCTATAAAATAAGCCTACTTTAAATCTCAGCTACTTAACATCCGTATTTTTTTTTTAAACGTCAAATAATTGTCAATCCAACAGCCCAGATATTTATAGGCGGGAACCTGCTTGATGAAAGAACCATCCAATGCATAAATGTGTAAAACATCTGAAACGTTTCTATGAGACTTAGAAAACAGCATACATTTAGTGTTTCCCGCATTAAGCCACATTTTAAAGCCAAAATCTGATTGCAGCTCCAACAGCCTGGTCAGTCTGCATATAGATGAATGTTACAGGTTTTTGCAGATGGACCAATATTATTTATATTGGACAGGTCCCAAAATCGACCCCTGCGGGACACCTTTAGTAATATCGAGGTAACTTGACGCCATCAGAAAGCACACATTGTGTCCTGTCTGACAGTTCCCAAACTAGATGCCTGGTGGAGGCCCATTTCAGACAACCTTTGAATGAGCAGGGGATAGTCGCCAGTATCAAAGGCCTTGGATAGGTCTGTAAATATGGCAGCACAGTGATTCCTATGATCTACATTTTAGTCATTTAGCAGACGCTCTTATCCAGAGAGACTTACAGTTAGTGAGTGCATACATAATTTTTTTATTTTTTTATTTTTCATACTGGTCCCCCGTGGGAATCGAACCCACAACCCTGGCGTTGCAAACGCCATGCTCTACCAACTGAGCTACCTCCCTGCTGGCCATTCCCTCCCCTACCCTGGACGACGCTGGGCCAATTGTGCGCCGCCCCATGGGTCTCCCGGTCGCGGCCGGCTACGACAGAGCCTGGATTCGAACCAGGATCTCTAGTGGCACAGCTAGCACTGCGATGCAGTGCCTTAGACCACTGCGCCACTCGGGAGTACGATGTAATCATTTAAAGACGAGTGTAGCAGCTGAAAGACAGGAGCTGTTCGTGGACTACAGGAAACGGAGGGCCGAACACGCCCCCTATTCACATCGATGGGGCTGTAGTGGAGCGGGTCGAGAGCTTCAAGTTCCTCTGTGTCCACGTCACTAAGGAATTATCATGGTCCAACACAGTCGTGAAGCGGGCACAACACACACAACACACACTCACACACACTCACACAAACACTCACACACACACTACACACACTCACACACACTTACACAAACACTACACACACTCACACACACACTACACACACTCACACACACACTACACACACTCACACACACTCACACACACTCACACACACTCACACAAACACTACACACACTCACACTCACACACACACTACACACACTCACACACACTCACACACACTCACACAAACACACACTACTCACACTCACACACACTCACACAAACACACACTCACACACACTCACACACACTCACACACACTCACACAAACACTACACACACTCACACAAACAAAACACACACTCACACAAACACTACACACACTCACACAAACACTACACACACTCACACATACAAAACACACACTCACACAAACACTACACACACTCACACAAACACTACACACACTCACACAAACACTACACACACTCACACAAACACTACACACACTCACACAAACACTACACACACTCACACAAACACTACACACACTCACACAAACACTACACACACTCACACAAACACTACACACACTCACACAAACACTACACACACTCACACAAACACTACACACACTCACACACAGACACACTTTCACACTCTTCACATATGCTGTTGCTACTCTGTTTATTATCTATCCTGATTGGCTAGTCACTTTTACCCCTACCTACATGTACATATTACCTCAACTACCAACACTGCTGCTACTCTGTTTATTATCTATCCTGATTGGCTAGTCACTTTTACCCCTACCTACATGTACATATTACCTCAACTACCAACACTGCTGCTACTCTGTTTATTATCTATCCTGATTGACTAGTCACTTTTACCCCTACCTACATGTACATATTACCTCAACTACCAACACTGCTGCTACTCTGTTTATTATCTATCCTGATTGACTAGTCACTTTTACCCCTACCTACATGTACATATTACCTCAACTACCAACACTGCTGCTACTCTGTTTATTATCTATCCTGATTGGCTAGTCACTTTTACCCCTACCTACATGTACATATTACCTCAACTACCAACACTGCTGCTACTCTGTTTATTATCTATCCTGATTGACTAGTCACTTTTACCCCTACCTACATGTACATATTACCTCAACTACCAACACTGCTGCTACTGTTATAGCTATCCCACCTCGCCCAGCAACACTGCCTGTCTGGGGGGCTGAAAGATTAGTTTTTAGCATAGAAGTTGGTCTAATTTACTCAAAACGTCTACTAAAGTGAGACTTTGTCCTCGTGTTTCTTGGTTATTTACATTCTTTTGTTCACAACTAGGAAAAGAGACATCTACTAGGGTCATGGCTAGAAGGGATTCAGCTTTTGTCAAATTAACGTCAAGAGTTTTTTAATATTTTTTTTATTTAAGCTAACTTTAACCCTTTTTCTAACCTTAACCTAATTCTCCTAACCTGCTACGTAAATTCGGAACATTTTTGTCTGAAGACTCAGGTCAAAGACTATTACATTTAATTGAGCAATATACCACATTACCTCTTACCAGTAATAAAAATAATACATTGAAACATTACCAAGCATATTGTGGTAAAACAAATATTTTGGCTGTAACTTCTCTCTCTGTAACCCTTTCTCTCTCTGTAACCCTTTCTCTCTCTGTAACCCTTTCTCTCTCTGTAACCCTTTCTCTCTCCGTAACCCTTTCTCTCTCTGTAGCCTCGTTATTATTTTATTGTGTTACTGTTTCCTTTTAAGGGCTCGTCAGGAAGTAAGTGAGCATTTCGCTGTAAAGTCTACCCCTGTTGTATTCGGCGCATGTGACAAATAAAATGTGATTTGATTTGAGTCTCCAGACTTGAAAGCCATTGAAAACCTATGGTTTGAATTGAAGAGGGCATAAAACATTTTAGAAAAAGGCTCAGTGCTGTTACCCTGACAGGGGGAGGTTTTGAAAACAGGGGTTTCAATCATTTTGACCCTTAACTTTTTGAGAGAAAAAACATTACTTGTTAAACAATCTCTTTCTCTGAGCATTTGCATTAGTATAAAATAATATCATTTCCACATGTTTTGGAGCATACAATATTGCTCAGTATTTGAATTATTTATTTTATACATCTTTATCAATAATTATGGACCCCACTGTATACATTAAACATATCTCTGTCTCTCTCTTTGTCTCTCTCTTTGTGTCTCTCTCTGTCTCTGTCTTTGTGTCTCTCTCTCTCTCTTTGTGTCTCTCTCTGTCTTTGTGTCTCTCTCTGTCTCTCTCTTTGTCTCTCTCTCTCTTTGTGTCTCTCGCTCTCTTTGTGTCTCTCTCTGTCTTTGTGTCGCTCTCTGTCTTTGTGTCTCTCTCTGTCTCTCTCTCTGTCTCTCTCTCTCTCTCTTTGTGTCTCTCTCTCTCTCTCTCTCTCTCTTTGTGTCTCTCTCTCTCTCTCTCTTTGTGTCTCTCTCTCTCTTTGTGTCTCTCTCTGTCTCTCTCTCTCTCTCGCTCTCTTTGTTTCTCTGACTCTTTCGCTGTCTCTCTCTCTCTGTCTCTCTCTCGCTGTCTCTCTTTCTCTCTCTCTCTGTGTCTCTCTCGGTGTCAGGTCTGAACCAGGTGGTCAGTGAACAGGCTGTTGAAGGAGCGTCTCCTCTAGACAACATGATTCACAGACTGCAGCAGGAGCAGGACCAGAGACTGTCAACCGACACACACAGTAGAGGTGTACACACACACACACACACACACACACACACACACACACACACACACACACACACACCACACACACACACACACAGTAGAGGTACACACACACACACACACACACAGTAGAGGTACACACACACACACACACACACACACACACACACACACACACACAGTAGAGGTACACACACACACACACACACACACACACACACACACACACACAGTAGAGGTACACACACACACACACACACACACACACACACACACACACACACACAGTAGAGGTACACACACACATACACACACAGTAGAGGTACACACACACACACACACACCGACACACACAGTGGAGGTACACACACACACACACACCGACACACACAGTAGAGGTACACACACACACACACACCGACACACACAGTAGAGGTAGACACCCGCAGACGCACAGACACACCAGGGCTAGCCGAGTCAGTTCATTATTTGAGTCAAGCCTTTACACCCAGTTGCTTCTACACAGGACTAAAATTGGATGCCTTTGGTGCTAACCCCCCCCCCATCCCCCCCTCCGCCCCTCCCCCTCAGAGGTTCACTCCCCCCCCAACGTGGGTCTGCGTCGCAGCGGTCAGATCGAGGGGGTGAGACAGATGCACAGCAACGCCCCCCGGAGCCAAATGGCCACAGAGACAGACCTGGTAGCATGGAGCAGGAGGGTACTGGTCCCTGAGCTGGGGGACGCTGTGCTCAGGTAACATACACACTCACACACACTCACACACTCACACACACACTCACAGAGTCCTCAAACGTGTGATGTGTGATGTGTTGTGTGTTGTGTGTAGGAGACAGCTGAACTGGAGGGAGGCTAAAGGAGAAGAGGAGATCAGTGTCTACAGATCAGAGAGGAGGCCACGCACTGTCCAGCTACACAGAGAGAGCAAGGTATCACCCACGCACTGTCCAGCTACACAGAGAGAACAAGGTATCACCCACGCACTGTCCAGCTACACAGAGAGAGCAAGGTATCACCCACGCACTGTCCAGCTACACAGAGAGAGCAAGGTATCACCCACGCACAGTCCAGCTACACAGAGAGAGCAAGGTATCACCCACGCACTGTCCAGCTACACAGAGAGAGCAAGGTATCACCCACGCACTGTCCAGCTACACAGAGAGAGCAAGGTATCACCCACGCACTGTCCAGCTACACAGAGAGAGCAAGGTATCACCCACGCACTGTCCAGCTACACAGAGAGAGCAAGGTATCACCCACGCACTGTCCAGCTACACAGAGAGAGCAAGATATCACCCACGCACTGTCCAGCTACACAGAGAGAGCAAGGTATCACCCACGCACTGTCCACCTACACAGAGAGAGCAAGGTATCACCCACGCACTGTCCAGCTACACAGAGAGAGCAAGGTATCACCCACGCACTGTCCAGCTACACAGAGAGAGCAAGGTATCACCCACGCACTGTCCAGCTACACAGAGAGAGCAAGGTATCACCCACGCACTGTCCAGCTACACAGAGAGAGCAAGGTATCACCCACGCACTGTCCAGCTACACAGAGAGAGCAAGGTATCACCCACGCACTGTCCAGCTACACAGAGAGAGCAAGGTATCACCCACGCGCTGTCCACCTACACAGAGAGAGCAAGGTATCACCCACACACTGTCCAGCTACACAGAGAGAGCAAGGTATCACCCACGCACTTTCCAGCTACACAGAGAGAGCAAGGTATCACCCACGCACTGTCCAGCTACACAGAGAGAGCAAGGTATCACCCACGCACTGTCCAGCTACACAGAGAGAGCAAGGTATCACCCACGCACTGTCCAGCTACACAGAGAGAGCAAGGTATCACCCACGCACTGTCCAGCTACACAGAGAGAGCAAGGTATCACCCACGCACTGTCCAGCTACACAGAGAGAGCAAGGTATCACCCACGCACTGTCCAGCTACACAGAGAGAGCAAGGTATCACCCACGCACTGTCCAGCTACACAGAGAGAGCAAGGTATCACCCACGCACTGTCCAGCTACACAGAGAGAGCAAGGTATCACCCCACGCACTGTCCAGCTACACAGAGAGAGCAAGGTATCACCCACGCACTGTCCAGCTACACAGAGAGAGCAAGGTATCACCCACGCACTGTCCCAGCTACACAGAGAGAGCAAGGTATCACCCACGCACTGTCCAGCTACACAGAGAGAGCAAGGTATCACCCACGCACTGTCCAGCTACACAGAGAGAGCAAGGTATCACCCAAGCACTGTCCAGCTACACAGAGAGAGCAAGGTATCACCCACGCACTGTCCAGCTACACAGAGAGAGCAATGTATCACCCACGCACTGTCCACCTACACAGAGAGAGCAAGGTATCACCCACGCACTGTCCAGCTACACAGAGAGAGCAAGGTATCACCCACGCACTGTCCAGCTACACAGAGAGAGCAAGGTATCACCCACGCACTGTCCAGCTACACAGAGAGAGCAAGGTATCACCCACGCACTGTCCAGCTACACAGAGAGAGCAAGGTATCACCCACGCACTGTCCAGCTACACAGAGAGAGCAAGGTATCACCCACGCACTGTCCAGCTACACAGAGAGAGCAAGGTATCACCCACGCACTGTCCAGCTACACAGAGAGAGCAAGGTATCACCCACGTACTGTCCACCTACACAGAGAGAGCAAGGTATCACACACGCACTGTCCAGCTACACAGAGAGAGCAAGGTATCACCCACGCACTGTCCAGCTACACAGAGAGAGCAAGGTATCACCCATGCACTGTCCAGCTACACAGAGAGAGCAAGGTATCACCCACGCACTGTCCAGCTACACAGAGAGAGCAAGGTATCACCCACGCACTGTCCAGCTACACAGAGAGAGCAAGGTATCACCCACGCACTGTCCAGCTACACAGAGAGAACAAGGTATCACCCACGCACTGTCCAGCTACACAGAGAGAGCAAGGTATCACCCACGCACCGTCCAGCTACACAGAGAGAGCAAGGTATCACCCACGCACCGTCCACCTACACAGAGAGAGCAAGGTATCACCCACGCACTGTCCAGCTACACAGAGAGAGCAAGGTATCACCCACGCACTGTCCAGCTACACAGAGAGAGCAAGGTATCACCCACGCACTGTCCAGCTACACAGAGAGAGCAAGGTATCACCCACGCACTGTCCACCTACACAGAGAGAACAAGGTATCACCCACGCACTGTCCAGCTACACAGAGAGAGCAAGGTATCACCCACGCACTGTCCAGCTACACAGAGAGAGCAAGGTATCACCCACGCACTGTCCAGCTACACAGAGAGAGCAAGGTATCACCCACACACTGTCCAGCTACACAGAGAGAGCAAGGTATCACCCACGCACTGTGAGAGAGCAAGGTATCACCCACGCACTGTCCAGCTACACAGAGAGAGCAAGGTATCACCCACGCACTGTCCAGCTACACAGAGAGAGCAAGGTATCACCCACGCACTGTCCACCTACACAGAGAGAACAAGGTATCACCCACGCACTGTCCAGCTACACAGAGAGAACAAGGTATCACCCACGCACTGTCCAGCTACACAGAGAGAGCAAGGTATCACCCACGCACTGTCCACCTACACAGAGAGAACAAGGTATCACCCACGCACTGTCCAGCTACACAGAGAGAGCAAGGTATCACCCACGCACTGTCCACCTACACAGAGAGAGCAAGGTATCACCCACGCACTGTCCAGCTACACAGAGAGAGCAAGGTATCACCCACGCACTGTCCAGCTACACAGAGAGAGCAAGGTATCACCCACGCACTGTCCACCTACACAGAGAGAACAAGGTATCACCCACGCACTGTCCAGCAACACAGAGAGAGCAAGGTATCACCCACGCACTGTCCACCTACACAGAGAGAACAAGGTATCACCCACACACTGTCCAGCTACACAGAGAGAGCAAGGTATCACCCACGCACTGTCCAGCTACACAGAGAGAGCAAGGTATCACCCACGCACTGTCCAGCTACACAGAGAGAACAAGGTATCACCCACGCACTGTCCAGCTACACAGAGAGAGCAAGGTATCACCCACTTACTGTCCACCTACACAGAGAGAAAAAGGTATCACCCACGCACTGTCCAGCTACACAGAGAGAGCAAGGTATCACCCACGCACTGTCCACCTACACAGAGAGAGCAAGGTATCACCCACACACTGTCCAGCTACACAGAGAGAGCAAGGTATCACCCACGCACTGTCATCCTACACAGAGAGAACAAGGTATCACCCACGCACTGTCCAGCTACACAGAGAGAGCAAGGTATCACCCACGCACTGTCCACCTACACAGAGAGAACAAGGTATCACCCACACACTGTCCAGCTACACAGAGAGAGCAAGGTATCACCCACGCACTGTCCAGCTACACAGAGAGAACAAGGTATCACCCACGCACTGTCCAGCTACACAGAGAGAACAAGGTATCACCCACGCACTGTCCAGCTACACAGAGAGAACAAGGTATCACCCACGCACTGTCCAGCTACACAGAGAGAACAAGGTATCACCCACGCACTGTCCAGCTACACAGAGAGAACAAGGTATCACCCCCGCACTGTCCAGCTACACAGAGAGAGCAAGGTATCACCCACACACTGTCCAGCTACACAGAGAGAACAAGGTATCACCCACGCACTGTCCATTTACACAGAGAGAGCAAGGTATCACCCACACACTGTCCAGCTACACAGAGAGAGCAAGGTATCACCCACGCACTGTCCAACTACACAGAGAGAGCAAGGTATCACCCACGCACTGTCCAGCTACACAGAGAGAGCAAGGTATCACCCACGCACTGTCCAGCTACACAGAGAGAACAAGGTATCACCCACACACTGTCCAGCTACACAGAGAGAACAAGGTATCACCCACGCACTGTCCAGCTACACAGAGAGAGCAAGGTATCACCCCCGCACTGTCCAGCTACACAGAGAGAACAAGGTATCACCCACACACTGTCCAGCTACACAGAGAGAGCAAGGTATCACCCACGCACTGTCCACCTACACATAGAGAGCAAGGTATCACCCACGCACTGTCCACCTACACAGAGAGAACAAGGTATCACCCACGCACTGTCCACCTACACAGAGAGAGCAAGGTATCACCCACGCACTATCCAGCTACACAGAGAGAACAAGGTATCACCCACGCACTGTCCAGCTACACAGAGAGAGCAAGGTATCACCCACACACTGTCCAGCTACACAGAGAGAGCAAGGTGTCACCCACGCACTGTCCAGCTACACAGAGAGAACAAGGTATCACCCACGCACTGTCCAGCTACACAGAGAGAGCAAGGTATCACCCACGCACTGTCCAGCTACACAGATAGAGCAAGGTATCACCCACGCACTGTCCAGCTACACATAGAGAACAAGGTATCACCCACGCACTGTCCAGCTACACAGAGCGAGCACATTAACACACTGTCCAGCTACACAGAGAGAGCACATTAACACACACTGTCCAGCTACACAGAGAGAGCACATTAACACACACTGTCCAGCTACACAGAGAGAGCACATTAACACACTGTCCAGCTACACAGAGAGAGCACATTAACACACACTGTCCAGCTACACAGAGAGAACACATTAACACACTGTCCAGCTACACAGAGAGAACACATTAACACACTGTCCAGCTACACAGAGAGAACACATTAACACACTGTCCAGCTACACAGAGAGAACACATTAACACACTGTCCAGCTACACAGAGAGAACACATTAACACACTGTCCAGCTACACAGAGAGAACACATTAACACACACTGTCCAGCTACACAGAGAGAACACATTAACACACTGTCCAGCTACACAGAGAGAACACATTAACACACACTGTCCAGCTACACAGAGAGAACACATTAACACACTGTCCAGCTACACAGAGAGAACACATTAACACACTGTCCAGCTACACAGAGAGAACACATTAACACACTGTCCAGCTACACAGAGAGAACACATTAACACACATGTCCAGCTACACAGAGAGAGCACATTAAACACACTGTCCAGCTACACAGAGAGACACATTAACACACTGTCCAGCTACACAGAGAGAACACATTAACACACTGTCCAGCTACACAGAGAGAAACACATTAACACACTGTCCAGCTACACAGAGAGAACACATTAACACCACTGTCCAGCTACACAGAGAGAGCACATTAACCACACTGTCCAGCTACACAGAGAGAACAATTAACACCACTGTCCAGCTACACAGAGAGAACACATTAACACACTGTCCAGCTACACAGAGAGAGCAATTAACACACACTGTCCAGCTACACAGAGAGAACAATTACCCCATGTCCAGCTACACAGAGAGAGCAATCACACACACTGTCCAGCTACACAGAGAGAACAATACACCACATGTCCAGCTACACAGAGAGAACAAGATACCACCACTGTCCAGCTACACAGAGAGAGCAAGGTATCACCCACCACTGTCCAGCTACACAGAGAGAACAAGGTATCACCCACGCACTGTCCACTACACAGAGAGAGCAAGGTATCACCCACCACTGTCCAGCTACACAGAGAGAGCAAGGTATCACCCACGCACTGTCCACTACACAGAGAGACAAGGTATCACCCACGCACTGTCCAGCTACACAGAGAGAGCAAGGTATCACCCACGCACTGTCCAGCTACACAGAGAGAACAAGGTATCACCCACACACTGTCCAGCTACACAGAGAGAACAAGGTATCACCCACGCATGTCCAGCTACACAGAGAGAGCAAGGTGTCACCCACGCAACTGTCCAGCTACACAGAGAGAACAAGGTATCACCCACGCACTGTCCAGCTACACAGAGAGAGCAAGGTATCACCCACGCACTGTCCAGCTACACAGATAGAGCAAGGTATCACCCACGCACTGTCCAGCTACACATAGAGAACAAGGTATCACCCACGCACTGTCCAGCTACACAGAGCGAGCACATTAACACACTGTCCAGCTACACAGAGAGAGCACATTAACACACACTGTCCAGCTACACAGAGAGAGCACATTAACACACACTGTCCAGCTACACAGAGAGCACATTAACACACTGTCCAGCTACACAGAGAGAGCACATTAACACACACTGTCCAGCTACACAGAGAGAACACATTAACACACTGTCCAGCTACACAGAGAGAACACATTAACACACTGTCCAGCTACACAGAGAGAACACATTAAACACACTGTCCAGCTTACACAGAGAGAACACATTAACACACTGTCCAGCTACACAGAGAGAACACATTAACCACACTGTCCAGCTACACAGAGAGAAAACATTAACACACACTGTCCAGCTACACAGAGAGAACACATTAACACACTGTCCAGCTACACAGAGGAGAACACAATTAACACACATGTCCAGCTACACAGAGAGAACACATTAACCACACTGTCCAGCTACACAGAGAGAACACATTAACACACTGTCCAGCTACACAGAGAGAACACATTAACACATGTCCAAGCTACACAGAGAGAAACACATTAACACCACAATGTCCAGCTACACAGAGAGAGCACATTAACACACTGTCCAGCTACACAGAGAGAACACATTAACACACTGTCCAGCTACACAGAGAGAACACATTAACACACTGTCCAGCTACACAGATGAGAACACATTAACACACTGTCCAGCTACACAGAGAGAACACATTAACACACACTGTCCAGCCTACACAGACGAGAGCCACATTAACACACTGTCCAGCTACACAGAGAGAACACATTAACACACTGTCCAGCTACACATAGAGAACACATTAACACACTGTCCAGCTACACAGAGAGAGCACATTAACACACACTGTCCAGCTACACAGAGAGAACACATTAACACACTGTCCAGCTACACAGAGAGAGCACATTAACACACACTGTCCAGCTACACAGAGAGAACACATTAACACACTGTCCAGCTACACAGAGAGAACACATTAACACACTGTCCAGCTACACAGAGAGAACACATTAACACACTGTCCAGCTACACAGAGAGAACACATTAACACACTGTCCAGCTACACAGAGAGAACACATTAACACACACTGTCCAGCTACACAGAGAGAACACATTAACACACTGTCCAGCTACACAGAGAGAGCACATTAACACACTGTCCAGCTACACAGAGAGAGCACATTAACACACTGTCCAGCTACAGAACCAGTCAAAGGTTTGGACACACCTACTCATTCCAGTTCTTGAAATCTTCCTTATTGACTGACCTTCATGTCTTAAAGTAATGATGGACTGTCGTTTCTCTTTGCTTATTTGAGCTGTTCTTGCCATAATATGGACTTGGTCTTTTACCAAATAGGGCTATCTTCTGTATACCACCCCTACCTTGTCACAACACAACTGATTGGCTCAAACGCATTAAGAAGGAAAGAAATTCCACAAATTAACTTTTAACAAGGCACACCTGTTAATTGAAATACATTCCAGGTGACTACCTCATGAAGCTGGTTGAGAGAATGCCAAGAGTGTGCAAAGCTGTCATCAAGGCAAAGGGTGGCTATTTGAAGAATCTCAAATATAAAATATATTTTGATGTTTAACACTTTTTTGGTTACAACATGATTCCATATGTGTTATTTCATAGTTGTGATGTCTTCACTATTATTCTACAATGTAGAAAATAGTAAAATTAAAGAAAAACCCTGGAATGAGTAGGTGTGTCCAAACTTTTGACTGGTACTGTATATACAGAGAGAGCACATTAACACCTCCCAAGATACATAAAGTTCCTATTTTCTCTGTCTCTTTCAGTTCCCCTCTCCAGAGTGTGTAGGGGCGGAGGAGGGGAGGAGGAGTCATGGTAACCATGGCTACCAGACACGTGCGGCCGTGGAGGAGACGAGTCGTCAGAGCGCTGAGGTAGCCGAAGATGAAGATGACAGCGACAGCATCTCAGAGGTACGGCCTGTTGTTGTTGACACTGAAGAGCTTCGAGGAGTTGACTGCAGGAGTTATGAAATTCATGTAAAAACTAGAGGCCAGTTAGTAGTGGTATTAATAGTGGTATTAATAGTGGTAATAATAGAGTCTTGTGGTATTAATAGTGGTATTAATAGTGGTATTAATAGAGGCCTGTGGTATTAATAGAGGTATTAATAGTGGTATTAATAGAGGCCTGTGGTATTAATAGTGCTATTAATAGTGCTATTAATAGAGGCATGTGGTATTAATAGTGGTATTAATATAGGTATTAATAGTGGTATTAATAGAGGCCTGTGGTATTAATAGTGCTATTAATAGTGCTATTAATAGAGGCCTGTGGTATTAAATAGTGGTGTTAATAGTGGTATTAATAGAGGCCTGTGGTATTTATAGTGGTATTAATAGTGGTATTAATATAGGCCTGTGGTATTAATAGTGGTATTAATAGAGGCCTGTGGTATTAATAGAGGCCTGTGGTATTAATAGTGGTATTAATAGAGGTATTAATATTGGTATTAATAGATTCCTGTGGTATTAATAGTGGTATTAATAGAGGCCTGTGGTATTAATAGTGGTATTAATAGAGGTATTAATATTGGTATTAATAGAGGCCTGTGGTATTAATAGTGGTATTAATAGAGGCCTGTGGTATTAATAGTGGAATTAATAGAGGCCTGTGGTATTAATAGTGGTATTAATAGAGGCCTGTGGTATTAATAGTGGTATTAATAGAGGCCTGTGGTATTAATACTGGTATTAATATAGGCTTGTGGTATTAATAGTGGTATTAATAGAGGCCTGTGGTATTAATAGTGGTATTAATAGAGGCCTGTGGTATTAATAGTGGTATTAATAGAGGTATTAATATTGGTATTAATAGAGGCCTGTGGTATTAATAGAGGCCTGTGGTATTAATAGAGGCCTGTGGTATTGGCCAGTTAGGACCTTTTCTGCTGCCGCTTTAAATACCTTCAGAAAACACATGTGTTACAAATTATCTATAACCATATGTCATGCTTTATAAAGGGTTCCTAAATGTGGCATAACTGTGTGACATAACCACCAATGTCAAATGTGACATAACCCACTATGTCGAAAATGATAGAAACCTGTGCTTAATAAAGGGTGGCGTAAGTAAAGGCCTTATAAATCATATTAAATTGAGGCCGTGTCATGCGTCTTAGTCAGGATAGATTCTCGCATGACTGTATTCGCTTTGGATAAAAGCATATGCTAAATTGTATATATTATATTTCACTAACCTCTTTCCCTCCTGGGTGCATAGTCAGTATTGGACCTGACCTCAACTTCCACCAGAACACTCTACCGTGCAGTCAGAGCAGAACACTTTAGTAGGACCTTTTCAAATCCCTTTGGATTTTGTCCGTACTCCATTTTCTCAGTTTTGTTTTTCCAGTTTTTTTTTCAGGTTTTCCTCTCACACTTTTTAAATAGAACAACTACAACATCATCTGATTTTTCTGTTCACAACAATGTTTTTAAACCACATCAGGGGATGACTTTTGAGGTCTGGGAAAAATCTAAGAAACTTTTGAGTGTAGATATTTGAATGTAGTTGCCCTTTTAATTCAGTGAGCATGTCTTGCACTGTTGTTTGGTTGTAGAGGGTTTTCTGTAGTGCAGTAATTGCACCTGTGATGATACAGTGATTCACGTTCTGGCCAATGGAATGGGTGGAATAAAAGGCCAGCAACACTCCGTATTATTCAGAGCCCCATTAAATGACACCATATTAAGTATTCAGACCCCTCGACTTTTTCCAAATGTTGTTACGTTACAGCCTTATTCTAAAACGGATTAAAGAAATAAAAATCCTCAGCAATCTACACACAATACCCCATAATGACAAAGCGAAAACAGGTTTTTAGAAATGTTTGCAAATGTATTAAAAATACAAAACAGAAATACATTAATTTACATAAGTATTCAGACCCTTTGCTATGAGACTCGAAATTGAGCTCAGATGCATCCTGTTTCCATTGATCATCCTTGAGATGTTTCTACTACTTGATTGGAGTCCAGCTGTGGTAAATTCAATTGATTGGACATGATTTGGAAAGGCACACACCTGTCTATATAAGGTCCCACAGTTGACAGTGCATGTCAGAGCAAAAACCAATCCATGAGGTCGAAGGAATTGTCCGTAGAGCTCTGAGACAGGATTGTGTCGAGGCACAGATCTGGGGAAGCATCGGATTGTGGTGTTAAATAGACGGCTACGAATAATATAGATGAGAACTCTCTTGCTTGCGAAAGTATTCACACCCCTTGGCATTTATCCTGTTTTGTTGCCTTACAACCTGGAATTAAAATTGATTTTCTGGGGGTTTGTATCATTTGATTTACACAACATGCCTACCACTTTGAAGATGCAACATATGTTTTATTGTGAAACAAACAAGAAATAAGACAAAAAAACAGAGAACTTGAGCGTGCATAACTATTCACCCCCCCAAAGTAAATACTTTGTAGAGCCACCTTTTGCAGCAATTACAGCTGCAAGTCTCTTGGGGTATGTCTCTATAAGCTTGGCACATCTAGCCACTGGGATTTCTGCCCATTCTTCAAGGCAAAACTGCTCCAGCTCTTTCAAGTTGGATCGGTTCCACTGGTGTAAAGCAATCGTTAAGTCATACCACAGATTATTAATTGGATTAGGCCATTCCAAGACATTTAAATGTTTCCCCTTAAACCACTCAAGTGTTGCTTTAGCAGTATGCTTAGGGTCATTGTCCTGCCGGAAGGTGAACCTCCATCCCAGTCTCAAATCTCTGGAAGACTGAAACAGGTTTCCCTCAATAATTTCCCTGTATTTAGCACCATCCATCATTCCTTGAATTCTGACCAGTTTCTCAGTCCCTGCCGATGAAAAACATCCCCACAGCATGATGCTGCCAGCACCATGCTTCACTGTGGGGATGGTGTTCTCGGGGTGATGAGAGGTGTTGGGTTTGAGCCAGACATAGCGTTTTCCTTGATGGCCAAAAATCTCAATTTTAGTTTCATCTGACCAGTGTACCTCCTTCCATATGTTTGGGGAGTCTCCCACATGTTTGCTTATTTTTTTCTTTAAGCAATGGCTTTTTTTCTGGCCACTCTTCTGTGAAGCCCAGCTCTGTGGAGTGTACGGCTTAAAGTGGTCCTATGGACAGATACTCCAATCTCCACTGTGGAGCTTTGCAGCTCCTTCAGGGTTATCTTTGGCCTCTGATTAATGCCCTCCTTGCCTGGTCCGTGAGTTTTGGTGGGCGGCCCTCTCTTGGCAGGTTTGTTGTGGTGCGATATTCTTTCCATTTTAAAATTATGGATTTAATGGTGCTCCGTGGGATGTTCAAAGTTTTGGATATTTTTTTATTACCCAACCCTGATCTGTACTTCTCCACAACTTTGTCCCTGACCTGTTTGGAGAGCTCCTTGGTCATGGTGCCGCTTGCTTGGTGGTGCCCCTTGCTTAGTGGTGTTGCAGACTCTGGGGCCTTTCAGAACAGGTGTATATATACTGACACTTAGATTGCACACAGGTGGACTTTATTTAACTAATTATGTGACTTCTGAAGGTAATTATTTGCACCAGATCTTATTTAGGGGCTTCAAAGCAAAGGGGGTGAATACATATGCACGCACCACTTTTCCTTTATTTATTTTGTATAATTTTTTGAAATAAGTTATTTTTTTAATTTCACTTCACCAATTTGGAGTATTTTGTGTATGTCCATTACATGACATCCAAATAAAATCAATTTAAATTACAGGTTGTAATGCAACAAAATAGGAAAAAATGCCAAGGGGGGTGAATTTTAGAATAAGGCTGTAACTTAACAAAATGTGGGAAAAGTCAAGGGGTCTGAATACTTTCCGAATGCACTGTATATATGTACAGTACCAGTCAAAAGTTTGGACACACTGACCCATTCAAGAGTTTTTCTTTATTTGTACTATTTTCTACATTGTAGAATAATAGTGAAGACATCAAAACTATGGAATCATATAGTAACCCAAAATTTTTTAAACAAATCTAAATATATTTTAAATTTGCGATTTTTCAAATAGCCATCCTTTGCCTTGATGACAGCTTTGCACACTCTTGGCATGCTCTCAACCAGCTTCACCTGGAATGCTTTTACAACAGTCTTGAAGGAGTTCCCACATATGCTGAGCACTTGTTGGCTGCTTTTCCTTCACTCTGCCGTCCGACTCATTCCTAACCATCTCAATTTGGTTGAGGTCTGGGGATTGTGGAGGCCAGGTCATCTGATGCAGCACTCAATCACTCTCCTTCGTGGTCAAATAGCCCTTACACAGCCTGGAGGTGATTTGGGTCATTGTCCTGTTGAAAAACAAATGATAGTCCCACTAAGCCCAAACCAGATGGGATGGTGTATCGCTGCAGAATGCTGTGGTAGCCATGCTGGTTAAGTGTGTTCTAAATAAATCAAAGACAGTGTCACCAGCAAAGCACCCCCACACCATAACACCTCCTCCTCCATGCTTTACGGTGGGAACTACACATGCGGAGATCATCCGTTCGCCCACACCGCGTCTCACGAAGACATGACAGTTGGAACCAAAAATCGCCAATTTGGACTCCAGACCAAATGACAAATTTCCACCTATCTAATGTCCATTGCTCATCTTTCAGGCCCATGCAGGTCTCTTCTTCTTATTGGTGTCCTTTTAGTAGTTTTTTTTTTTTTTCAGCAATTCGACCATGAAGGTCTGATTCACACAGTCCCCTCTGAATAGTTGATGTCGAGATGTGTCTGTGACGTGAACTCTGAAGCATTTATTTTGGCTGGAATTTTTTAGGTTGGTATCTCTAATGAACTTATCCTCTGCAGCAGAGGTAACTCTGGGTCTTCCATTCCTGTGGCGGTCCTCATGAGAGCCAGTTTCATCATAGCGCTTGATGGTTTTTCCAATTGCTTCTTGAAATGTTCCGTATTGACTGACCTTCATGTCTTAAAGTAATGATGGACTGTCGTTTCTCTTCGCTTATGTGAGCTGTTCTTGCCATAATAGGGACTTGGTCTTTTCCCAAATAGGGCTATCTTCTGTATACCCCCCCCTACCTTGTCACAACACAGCTGATTGGCTCAAACGCATTAAGAAGGAAAGAAATTCCACAAATTAACTTTTAAGAAGGCACACCTGTTAATTGAAATGCATTCCAGGTGACTACCTCATGAAGCTGGTTGAGAGAATGCCAAGGAGTGTGCAAAACTGTCATCAAGGCAAAGGGTGGCTATTTGAAGAATCTCAAATATAAAATATATTTTGATTTGTTTAACACTTTTTTGTTTACTACATGATTCCATATGTGTTATTTCATAGTTTTGATGTCTTCACTATTATTCTACAATGTACAAATAGTCCAAAAAAAAACACACAAAAAACCTCTGGAATGAATAGGTGTTCAAACTTTTGACTGGTATTGTTTGTCTAATAAATGACCAAAGGGGTCTGACTTTAAATGAAGTACATCATCATGGATATAGAGTCTTTATGGATGTGTTATGAATGACCGAAGGTGTCTCACTTCAAACTAAGTATTACAGGACACTACATGAAGCGTCAATAAACAGGTTATTTACGTTCTGCTGATTTATGAAGGTTCTCTCGTGATCCACAGGTTACTGTAGGGTGTGAGAGGTTTTTAAATGGGTTGATGGACCTGCAAAGCTTGTCTGTGTGTCAGAACCAAGATGATTTGGAGTGGTCCAACCTGAGACCACCTCACCAGGTATTCCTCTTCTGATCCCATGGAGACCAGGGCTTCATTACAACCTGTTTACAATGGTGCCAACATTTTCCTGCTGATCTTTCAGCGGGGGAGTGGGTGAATGTGTCAAAGACCTGACTGGGTCCAGCACCACACGGTATGACTGGTTATATTGTTGTGTTAAAGACCTGACTGGACCCAGCACCACACGGTATGGCTGGTTATATTGTTGTGTTAAAGACCTGACTGGACCCAGCACCACACGGTATGGCTGGTTATATTGTTGTGTTAAAGACCTGACTGGACCCAGAACCACACGGTATGACTGGTTATATTGTTGTGTTAAAGACCTGACTGGGTCCAGCACCACACGGTATGACTGGTTATATTGTTGTGTTAAAGACCTGACTGGACCCAGCACCACACGGTATGGCTGGTTATATTGTTGTGTTAAAGACCTGACTGGGTCCAGCACCACACGGTATGACTGGTTATATTGTTGTGTTAAAGACCTGACTGGACCCAGAACCACACGGTATGACTGGTTATATTGTTGTGTTAAAGACCTGACTGGGTCCAGCACCACACGGTATGACTGGTTATATTGTTGTGTTAAAGACCTGACTGGACCCAGCACCACACGGTATGGCTGGTTATATTGTTGTGTTAAAGACCTGACTGGACCCAGCACCACACGGTATGGCTGGTTATATTGTTGTGTTAAAGACCTGACTGGACCCAGAACCACACGGTATGACTGGTTATATTGTTGTGTTAAAGACCTGACTGGGTCCAGCACCACACGGTATGACTGGTTATATTGTTGTGTGTGTTCGTGTATTGAGGAACATGTAACTTGGTTCCAGAAGAAAGACACTTCAATTTCGTTAGGTTGGGGGGCTTTCATCAAGGTGAACGTCGTCCCCAGGCTGTTGAACACACAGCACAGATAACCCTGGGAGATCAACCATTCAGAGCTGGTCTTAGTGAAAGTGACCATAGAGTTCTATAGGACTGTCCTTAGTGAGTAAAGTAGTTGTCATCATCACTAGTTAACACAGTCGTAGTTATGGCTAAACCCCGCCCATTTCCACAATTGATCTAATTAAAGTTGTATTTGAAACCTAACCCTAACTAGTGAAGGCCAGGTTTGATGCGTGCCTGGGAATGAGATGAGGTGTAATGTGATTTGAAACCTAACCCTAACTAATGAAGGCCAGGTTTGATGCGTGCCTGGGAATGAGATGAGGTGTAATGTGACATCCCTTCAGAGCGTGTGTTGTGTGTCACAACACGTCACCCTTTATAAAGCACATGATTATATCAGATTCAACATAGTGGGTTATGTCACAGTTATGAACCCTTTATAAAGCATGACATAGGGTTATAGATGTGTTGTCAAACATGTATATAGTGCTTATGAAGGCATTATTAAGGCTTTATGAACCCTTGAAGCTTTCAAGCGGGATCGATTTGGTGAAATCTCGTCTCCCTCTCCTCCCTCTCTCCTCCCTCCCTCTCCTCTCTTTCTCCTCTCCCTCCTCTTTCTCCTCCCTCTCCTCCCTCTCTCCTCTCTCTCCCTCTCCCTCTCTCCTCCATCTCGCTCTCTCCTCCCTCTCTCCTCTCCCTCTCTCTCCTCCCTCTCTCCTCTCCCTCTCTCTCCTCCCTCCCTCTCCTCTCTCTCCCTCCCCCCTCTCCCTCTCTTCTCCTCCCTCTCTCCTCCTCCCTCTCCCCTCCCTCTCTCTCCTCCCTCTCTCTCTCTCTCTCTCCCTCTCCCGCTCTCCTCTCTCCTCTCTCTCTCCCCTCTCTCCCCTCTCTCCTCTCTCTCCCCCCTCTGCCCCCTCTCCTCTCTCCCCTCTCTCCCCCCTCTCCCTCTCCTCTCCCTCGTCTCTCTCTCTCCCGTCTCTCTCCTCCTCTCCCCCCCCCTCTCTCTCCCCCCTCTCCCCCTCTCTCTCCCCCTCCAGCCGTCTTCCTCTCCCCCGGTCCTCCGCCCCCTCTCCTCCCTGTGCCCTCCCCCCCCCCGGCTCTTCCCAGGAGAGGTAGATTTGCATCCTAACCCTGTGAATGGGAACTCTTCAGAGGAGGAGAAGGAGGAAGAGGAGAAGGAGGAAGAGGAGAAGGAGCCCTGGCCTGAAGACCACAGCAGCTCCAGGTAGGAACACATAGACACACACACACACACACACACACACACACACACACACACACACACCCAGACCACAGCAGTTCCTTTCATGGCTACTTGGTGACTATTCCAGTGACTACCTGTTATAGTGGCTACTCTGACCAATATGTTACTGTAGTGACTACTACTGGTGACTATTCTGTAGATATAGTGACTACTACTGGTGACTATTATGTAGATATAGTGACTACTACTGGTGGCTGTTCTGTAGATATAGTGACTACCACTGGTGACTATTCTGTAGACATAGTGACTACTCTGACTATTCTGTAGACAAGGTGATACTCGGACTATTCTGTAGATATAGTGACTACTCTGGTGACTGTTCTGTTGACATAATGACTGCTCTGACTATTCTGTAGATATAGTGACTACTCTGGCTATTCTGTAGACATAGTGACTACTCTGACTATTCTGTAGACAAGGTGATACTCGGACTATTCTGTAGACACAGTGAGTACTCTTGCTATTCTGTAGACACAGTGACTACTCTGGTGGCTGTTCTGTAGACATAGTGACTACTCTGGTGACTGTTCTGTTGACATAATGACTGCTCTGACTATTCTGTAGACATAGCGACTACTCTGACTATTCTGTAGACACAGTGACTACTCTGGGTATTCTGTAGACATAGTGACTACTCTAACTATTCTGTAGACATAGCGACTACTCTGACTATTCTGTAGACACAGTGACTACTCTGGGTATTCTGTAGACATAGTGACTACTCTAACTATTCTGTAGACATAGCGACTACTCTGACTATTCTGTAGACATAGTGACTACTCTAACTATTCTGTAGACATAGTGACTACTCTGACTATTCTGTAGACATAGTGACTACTCTTGCTATTCTGTAGACACAGTGACTACTCTGGGTATTCTGTAGACATAGTGACTACTACTGGTGGCTATTCTGTAGACATAGTCACTACTCTGACTATTCTGTAGACATAGTGACTACTCTGACTATTCTGTAGACATAGTGACTACTTTGACTATTCTATAGACATTGTGAATACTCTGACTATTCTGTAGACATAGTGACTACTCTGACTATTCCGTAGACATGGTGACTACTCTGACTATTCTGTAGACATAGTGACTACTCGGACTATTCTGTAGACATAGTGACTACTCTGACTATTCTGTAGACATAGTGACTACCCTGACTATTCTGTAGACATAGTGACTACTCTGAATATTTTGTAGACATAATGACTACTCTAACTATTCTGTAGACATAGTGACTACTCCGACTATCCTGTAGACACAGCGACTACTCTGACTATTCTGCAGACATTGTGACTACTCTGACTATTCTGTAGACATAGTGACTACTTTGACTATCCTGTAGACATAGTGACTACTCTGACTATTCTGTAGACATAGTGACTACTCCGACTATCCTGTGGACATAGTGACTACTCTGACTATTCTGTAGACATAGTGACTACTCTGAATATTCTGTAGACATAGTGACTACTCTGAATATTCTGTAGACATAGTGACTACTCCGACTATCCTGTAGACATAGTGACTACTCTGGTGGCTGTTCTGTAGACATAGTGACTACTACTGGTGACTGTTCTGTTGACATAGTGACTACTCTGGCTATTCTGTGGACATAGTAATTACTTTGACTATTTCGTTGATATAGTGACTACTCTGACTATTCTGTAGACATAGTGACTACTCTGAATATTCTGTAGACATAGTAACTACTCTGAATATCCTGTAGACATAGTGACTACTCTGACTGTTCTGTAGACATAGTGACTACTCTGACTATTCTGTAGACATAGTGACTACTCTGACTATTCTGTTGACATAGTGACTACTCTGGTGGCTGTTCTGTAGACATAGTGACTACTACTGGTGACTGTTCTGTTGACATAGTGACTACTCTGGCTATTCTGTGGACATAGTAATTACTTTGACTATTTCGTTGATATAGTGACTACTCTGACTATTCCGTAGACATAGTGACTACTCTGACTATTCTGTGGACATGGTGACTACTCCGACTGTTCTGTAGACATAGTGACTACTCTGACTATTCTGTGGACATAGTAAATACTTTGACTATTCAGTTGATATAGTGACTACTCTGACTATTCTGTAGACATAGTGACTACTCTGACTATTCTGTAGACATAGTGACTACTCTGACTATTCTGTAGACATAGTGACTACTCTGACTATTCTGTAGACATAGTGGACTCCTACTGAACTATTTGAAAGAAATAGTTGGCTACTCTGGCTATTCTGTAGACATAGTGACTACTCTGACTATTCTGTAGACACAGTGACTACTCTGGGTATTCTGTAGACATAGTGACTACTACTGGTGGCTATTCTGTAGACATAGTCACTACTCTGACTATTCTGTAGACATAGTGACTACTCTGACTATTCTGTGGACATAGTGACTACTCTGACTATTCTGTAGACATGGTGACTACTCTGACTATTCTGTGGATATAGTGAATACTCTGACTATTCTGTGGACATAGTGACAACTCTGACTATTCTGTAGACATAGTGACTACTCTGACTATTCTGTGGATATAGTGAATACTCTGACTATTCTGTAGACATAGTGACTACTCTGACTATTCTGTAGACATAGTCACTACTCTGACTATTCTGAAGACATAGTGACTACTCTAACTATTCTGTAGACATAGTGACTACTCTGGGTATTCTGTAGACACAGTGACTACTCTGGGTATTCTGTAGACATAGTGACTACTACTGGTGGCTATTCTGTAGACATAGTCACTACTCTGACTATTCTGTAGACATAGTGACTACTCTGACTATTCCGTAGACATAGTGACTACTCTGACTATTCTGTAGACACAGTGAATACTCTGACTATTCTGCAGACATAGTGACTACTCCGACTATTCTGTAAACATAGCGAATACTCTGACTATTCTGCAGACATAGTGACTACTCTGACTATTCTGTTGACATAGTGACTACTCTAACTATTCTGTAGACATAGTGACCACTCTGACTATTCTGAAGACATAGTGACTGCTCTGACTATTCTGTAGACATAGTGACTACTCTGGGTATTCTGTAGACACAGTGACTACTCTGGCTATTCTGTAGACACAGTGACTACTCTGGGTATTCTGTAGACATAGTGACTACTACTGGTGGCTATTCTGTAGACATAGTCACTACTCTGACTATTCTGTAGACATAGTGACTACTCTGACTATTCTGTAGACACAGTGACTACTCTGGGTATTCTGTAGACATAGTGACTACTACTGGTGGCTATTCTGTAGATATAGTCACTACTCTGACTATTCTGTAGACATAGTGACTACTCTGACTATTCTGTGGACATAGTGACTACTCTGACTATTCTGCAGACATAGTGAATACTCCAACTATTCTGCAGACATAGTGACTACTCTGACTATTCTGTGGACATAGTGACTACTCCGACTATTCTGTAGACATAGTTAATACTCTGACTATTCTGTAGACATAGTGACTACTCTGACTATTCTGTAGACATAGTGACTACTCTTGACTATTCTGTAGACACAGTGACTTCTCTGGGTATTCTGTAGACATAGTGACTACTACTGGTGGCTATTCTGTAGACATAGTCACTACTCTGACTATTCCGTAGACATAGTGACTACTCTGACTATTCTGCAGAAATAATGACTACTCTGACTATTCTGTTGACATAGTGACTACTCTGACTATTCTGTAGACATACTGACTACTCTGTCTATCCTGTGGACATAGTGACTACTCTGACTATTCCGTAGACATGGTGACTACTCTAACTATTCTGTAGACATAGTGACTACTCCAACTATTCTGTAGACATAGTGACTACTCTGACTATTCTGTAGACATAGTGACTACACTGACTATTCCATAGACATGGTGACTACTCTGACTATTCTGTAGACACAGTGACTACTCTGACTATTCTGTAGACATAGTGACTACTCTGACTATTCTGTAAACATAGTGACTACTCTGACTATTCTGTAGACATAGTGACTACTCCGACTATCCTGTAGACATGGTGACTACTCCGACTATACCGCAGACATAGTGAACACTCTGACTATTCTGTAGACATAGTGACTACTCGGACTATTCCGAAGACATGGTGACTGCTCTGACTATTCTGTAGACATAGTGACTACTCTGACTATTCTGTAGACATAGTGACTACTCCGACTATTCTGCAGACATAGTGACTACTCTGACTATTCTGTGGACATAGTGACTACTTTGAATATTCTGTTGACATAGTGACTACTCTGACTATTCTGTAGACATAGTGACTACTCCGACTATCCTGTAGACATAGTGACTACTCTGACTATTCTGTAGACATAGTGACTACTCTGAATATTCTGTAGACACAGTGAGTACTCTAACTATTCTGTAGACACAGTGACTACTCTGACTATTCTGTAGACATAGTGACTACTCCGACTATCCTGTAGACATAGTGACTACTCTGACTATTCTGTGGACATAGTGACTACTCTGGGTATTCTGTAGACATAGTGACTACTCTGACTATTCTGTAGACATAGTGACTACTCCGACTATCCTGTAGACATAGTGACTACTCTGACTATTCTGTAGACATAGTGACTACTCTGACTATTCTGTAGACAAGGTGATACTCTGACTATTCTGTAGACATAGTGACTACTCTGACTATTCTGTGGATATAGTGACTACTCTGGTGGCTGTTCTGTAGACATAGTGACTACTACCGGTGACTGTTCTGTAGACATAGTGACTACTCTAACTATTCTGTAGACACAGTGAGTACTCTGACTATTCTGTAGACATAGTGACTACTCCGACTATTCTGTAGACATAGTGACTACTCTGACTATTCTGTGGACATAGTGACTACTCTGAATATTCTGTAGACATAGTGACTACTCTGACTATTCTGTAGACACAGTGACTACTCCGACTATCCTCTAGACATAGTGACTACTCTGACTATTCTGTTGACATAGTGACTACTCTGAATATTCTGTAGACACAGTGAATACTCTGACTATTCTGTAGACATAGCGACTACTCTGACTATTCTGCAGACATAGTGACTACTCTGACTATTCTGTGGACATAGTGACTACTTTGAATATTCTGTTGACATAGTGACTACTCTGACTATTCTGTAGACATAGTGACTACTCCGACTATCCTGTAGACATAGTGACTACTCTGACTATTCTGTAGACATAGTGACTACTCTGAATATTCTGTAGACACAGTGAGTACTCTAACTATTCTGTAGACACAGTGACTACTCTGACTATTCTGTAGACATAGTGACTACTCTGGGTATTCTGTAGACATAGTGACTACTCTAACTATTCTGTAGACATAGTGACTACTCTGACTATTCTGTAGACATAGTGACTACTCTAACTATTCTGTAGACACAGTGAGTACTCTGACTATTCTGTAGACATAGTGACTACTCCGACTATTCTGTAGACATAGTGACTACTCTGACTATTCTGTGGACATAGTGACTACTCTGAATATTCTGTAGACATAGTGACTACTCTGACTATTCTGTAGACACAGTGACTACTCCGACTATCCTCTAGACATAGTGACTACTCTGACTATTCTGTTGACATAGTGACTACTCTGAATATTCTGTAGACACAGTGAGTACTCTGACTATTCTGTAGACATAGCGACTACTCTGACTATTCTGTAGACATAGTGACTACTCTGGTGGCTGTTCTGTAGACATAGTGACTACTACTGGTGACTGTTCTGTTGACATAGTGACTACTCTGACTATTCTGTGGACATAGTAATTACTTTGACTATTCCGTTGATATAGTGACTAATCTGACTATTCCATAGACATAGTGACTACTCTGACTATTCTGTGGACATAGTGACTACTCCAACTGTTCTATAGACATAGTGACTACTCTGACTATTCTGTGGACATAGTAAATACTTTGACTATCCCGTTGATATAGTGATACTCTGACTATTCCGTAGACATAGTGACTACTCTGACTATTCCATAGACATAGTGACTACTCCGACTATTCTGTAGACATAGTGACTACTCTGACTATTCTGTGGATATAGTAACTACTCTGACTGTTCTGCAGACATAGTGAATACCCTGACTATTCCGTAGACATAGTGACTACTCTGACTATTCTGTTGACATAGTGACTACTCTGGCTATTCTGTAGACATAGTGACTACTCTGGTGACTGTTCTGTTGACATAGTGACTACTCTGACTATTCTGTGGACATAGTAATCACTTTGACTATTCTGTTGATATAGTGACTACTCTGACTATTCCGCAGACATAGTGACTACTCTGACTATTCTGTAGACATAGTGACTACTCTGTTAGCTGTTCTGTAGACATAGTGACTACTCTGACTGTTCTGTAGACATAGTGACTACTCTGACTATTCTGCAAACATAGTGACTACTCTGACTGTTCAGTAAACATAGTGACTACTCTGACTATTCTGCAGACATAGTGACTACTCTGACTATTCTGTAGACATAGTGACTGCTCTGACTATTCTGTAGACATAGTGACTACTCTAACTATTCTGTAGACATAGTGACTACTCTGACTATTCTGTAGACATAGTGACTACTCTGAATATTCTGTAGACATAGTGACTGGTCAGACTATTCCGTAGACATAGTGACTACTCTGACTATTCTGTAGACATAGTGACTGGTCAGACTATTCCGTAGACATAGTGACTACTCTGGCTATTCTGTAGACATAGTGACTACTCTGAATATTCCGCTGACATAGTAACTACTCTGACTATTCTGCGAACATAGTGACTACTCTGAATATTCTGCGAACATATTGACTACTCTGACTCTCTGTTGCTATAGTGACTACTCTGACTGTTGCTATAGTGACTACTCTGATTCTATGTTGCTATAGTGACTACTCTGACTCTATGTTGCTATAGTGACTACTCTGACTCTATGTTGCTATAGTGACTACTCCAGTGACTACTCTGACTGGACGGCAGATGCAGGGATCAACCTGGAACCACCGAAGAAGAATGTGAAAATGAAAAAGAAGAGCTGCAGCTCTGAGGAGGATGGAGAGAAGAAGAGAGAGGGAAAGAGAGACAGGAAGAAAGACAAAGCAGACAAAGACGGAGCGCTACCAAAGAAGAAGAAGCCAAAGGAGAGGAGGAAGGTGTGTGTTGTCTTCATGTGTGTCTCAGAATGACTGTCTCTGATTACAAGGTTTTCTTTTCAAGTAAAATCCCTCTTCTTCCCTCTCTCTCTCTCTCTCTCTCTCTCTCTCTCTCTCTCTCTCTCTCTCTCTCTGTCTCTCTGTCTCTCTCTCTCTCTCTCTCTCTCTCTCAGAGGGTGGAGTTCCAGGAGGAGGGGCTAACTCTAGAGGAGTGGCTTCCGTCAGCCTGGATCACAGACACAGTCCCTCGGAGATGTCCCTATATACCACAGATGGGAGACGAGGTAACACACACATTAACCCACCCAGCCAGCCACCCACCCAGCCAGCCATACACCCACCCACCCAGCCAGCCAGCCACCCAGCCAGCCAGCCATCCACCCACCCACCCACCCACCCAGCCAGCCACCAAGCCAGTGTCCTAACAGTGTGTTGTGTTGTCCAGGTGTACTACACCCACCCAGCCAGCCAGCCAGTGTCCTAACAGTGTGTTGTGTTGTCCAGGTGTACTACACCCACCCAGCCAGCCAGTGTCCTAACAGTGTGTTGTGTTGTCCAGGTGTACTACACCCACCCAGCCAGCCAGTGTCCTAACAGTGTGTTGTGTTGTCCAGGTGTACTACACCCACCCAGCCAGCCAGCCAGTGTCCTAACAGTGTGTTGTGTTGTCCAGGTGTACTACACCCACCCAGCCAGCCAGTGTCCTAACAGTGTGTTGTGTTGTCCAGGTGTACTACACCCACCCAGCCAGCCAGTGTCCTAACAGTGTGTTGTGTTGTCCAGGTGTACTACACCCAGCCAGCCAGCCAGCCAGCCAGCCAGCCAGTGTCCTAACAGTGTGTTGTGTTGTCCAGGTGTACTACACCCAGCCAGCCAGCCAGTGTCCTAACAGTGTGTTGTCCAGGTGTACTACACCCACCCAGCCAGCCAGCCAGTGTCCTAACAGTGTGTTGTGTTGTCCAGGTGTACTACACCCACCCAGCCAGCCAGCCAGTCAGCCAGTGTCCTAACAGTGTGTTGTGTTGTCCAGGTGTACTACACCCAGCCAGCCAGCCAGTGTCCTAACAGTGTGTTGTGTTGTCCAGGTGTACTACACCCAGCCAGCCAGCCAGCCAGTGTCCTAACAGTGTGTTGTGTTGTCCAGGTGTACTACACCCACCCAGCCAGCCAGCCAGTGTCCTAACAGTGTGTTGTGTTGTCCAGGTGTACTACACCCAGCCAGCCAGCCAGCCAGTGTCCTAACAGTGTGTTGTGTTGTCCAGGTGTACTACACCCAGCCAGCCAGCCAGTGTCCTAACAGTGTGTTGTGTTGTCCAGGTGTACTACACCCACCCAGCCAGCCAGTGTCCTAACAGTGTGTTGTGTTGTCCAGGTGTACTACACCCACCCAGCCAGCCAGTGTCCTAACAGTGTGTTGTGTTGTCCAGGTGTACTACACCCAGCCAGCCAGCCAGCCAGTGTCCTAACAGTGTGTTGTGTTGTCCAGGTGTACTACACCCAGCCAGCCAGCCAGTGTCCTAACAGTGTGTTGTGTTGTCCAGGTGTACTACACCCACCCAGCCAGCCAGCCAGTGTCCTAACAGTGTGTTGTGTTGTCCAGGTGTACTACACCCAGCCAGCCAGCCAGTGTCCTAACAGTGTGTTGTGTTGTCCAGGTGTACTACACCCAGCCAGCCAGCCAGCCAGTGTCCTAACAGTGTGTTGTGTTGTCCAGGTGTACTACACCCACCCAGCCAGCCAGCCAGTGTCCTAACAGTGTGTTGTGTTGTCCAGGTGTACTACACCCAGCCAGCCAGCCAGTGTCCTAACAGTGTGTTGTGTTGTCCAGGTGTACTACACCCAGCCAGCCAGCCAGCCAGTGTCCTAACAGTGTGTTGTGTTGTCCAGGTGTACTACACCCACCCAGCCAGCCAGTGTCCTAACAGTGTGTTGTGTTGTCCAGGTGTACTACACCCACCCACCCAGCCAGCCAGTGTCCTAACAGTGTGTTGTGTTGTCCAGGTGTACTACACCCAGCCAGCCATCCAGTGTCCTAACAGTGTGTTGTGTTGTCCAGGTGTACTACACCCACCCAGCCAGCCAGTGTCCTAACAGTGTGTTGTGTTGTCCAGGTGTACTACACCCAGCCAGCCAGCCAGCCAGTGTCCTAACAGTGTGTTGTGTTGTCCAGGTGTACTACACCCACCCAGCCAGCCAGTGTCCTAACAGTGTGTTGTGTTGTCCAGGTGTACTACACCCAGCCAGCCAGCCAGTGTCCTAACAGTGTGTTGTGTTGTCCAGGTGTACTACACCCACCCAGCCAGCCAGCCAGTGTCCTAACAGTGTGTTGTGTTGTCCAGGTGTACTACACCCAGCCAGCCAGCCAGTGTCCTAACAGTGTGTTGTGTTGTCCAGGTGTACTACACCCAGCCAGCCAGCCAGTGTCCTAACAGTGTGTTGTGTTGTCCAGGTGTACTACACCCAGCCAGCCAGCCAGCCAGTGTCCTAACAGTGTGTTGTGTTGTCCAGGTGTACTACACCCACCCAGCCAGCCAGTGTCCTAACAGTGTGTTGTGTTGTCCAGGTGTACTACACCCAGCCAGCCAGCCAGCCAGTGTCCTAACAGTGTGTTGTGTTGTCCAGGTGTACTACACCCAGCCAGCCAGCCAGTGTCCTAACAGTGTGTTGTGTTGTCCAGGTGTACTACACCCAGCCAGCCAGCCAGTGTCCTAACAGTGTGTTGTGTTGTCCAGGTGTACTACACCCACCCAGCCAGCCAGTGTCCTAACAGTGTGTTGTGTTGTCCAGGTGTACTACACCCACCCAGCCAGCCAGTGTCCTAACAGTGTGTTGTGTTGTCCAGGTGTACTACACCCAGCCAGCCAGCCAGCCAGTGTCCTAACAGTGTGTTGTGTTGTCCAGGTGTACTACACCCAGCCAGCCAGCCAGTGTCCTAACAGTGTGTTGTGTTGTCCAGGTGTACTACACCCACCCACCCACCCAGCCAGTGTCCTAACAGTGTGTTGTGTTGTCCAGGTGTACTACACCCACCCAGCCAGCCAGTGTCCTAACAGTGTGTTGTGTTGTCCAGGTGTACTACACCCAGCCAGCCAGCCAGTGTCCTAACAGTGTGTTGTGTTGTCCAGGTGTACTACACCCACCCAGCCAGCCAGTGTCCTAACAGTGTGTTGTGTTGTCCAGGTGTACTACACCCAGCCAGCCAGCCAGTGTCCTAACAGTGTGTTGTGTTGTCCAGGTGTACTACACCCACCCAGCCAGCCAGCCAGTGTCCTAACAGTGTGTTGTGTTGTCCAGGTGTACTACACCCAGCCAGCCAGCCAGTGTCCTAACAGTGTGTTGTGTTGTCCAGGTGTACTACACCCAGCCAGCCAGCCAGTGTCCTAACAGTGTGTTGTGTTGTCCAGGTGTACTACACCCAGCCAGCCAGCCAGCCAGTGTCCTAACAGTGTGTTGTGTTGTCCAGGTGTACTACACCCACCCAGCCAGCCAGTGTCCTAACAGTGTGTTGTGTTGTCCAGGTGTACTACACCCAGCCAGCCAGCCAGCCAGTGTCCTAACAGTGTGTTGTGTTGTCCAGGTGTACTACACCCAGCCAGCCAGCCAGTGTCCTAACAGTGTGTTGTGTTGTCCAGGTGTACTACACCCAGCCAGCCAGCCAGTGTCCTAACAGTGTGTTGTGTTGTCCAGGTGTACTACACCCACCCAGCCAGCCAGTGTCCTAACAGTGTGTTGTGTTGTCCAGGTGTACTACACCCACCCAGCCAGCCAGTGTCCTAACAGTGTGTTGTGTTGTCCAGGTGTACTACACCCAGCCAGCCAGCCAGCCAGTGTCCTAACAGTGTGTTGTGTTGTCCAGGTGTACTACACCCAGCCAGCCAGCCAGTGTCCTAACAGTGTGTTGTGTTGTCCAGGTGTACTACACCCACCCACCCACCCAGCCAGTGTCCTAACAGTGTGTTGTGTTGTCCAGGTGTACTACACCCACCCAGCCAGCCAGTGTCCTAACAGTGTGTTGTGTTGTCCAGGTGTACTACACCCAGCCAGCCAGCCAGCCAGTGTCCTAACAGTGTGTTGTGTTGTCCAGGTGTACTACACCCACCCAGCCAGCCAGTGTCCTAACAGTGTGTTGTGTTGTCCAGGTGTACTACACCCACCCAGCCAGCCAGCCAGTGTCCTAACAGTGTGTTGTGTTGTCCAGGTGTACTACACCCACCCACCCACCCAGCCAGTGTCCTAACAGTGTGTTGTGTTGTCCAGGTGTACTACACCCAGCCAGCCAGCCAGTGTCCTAACAGTGTGTTGTGTTGTCCAGGTGTACTACACCCAGCCAGCCAGCCAGTGTCCTAACAGTGTGTTGTGTTGTCCAGGTGTACTACTTCCGTCAGGGCCATGAGGCGTATGTGGAAATGACCAAACAGAACAAGATCTACAGCATCAACCCCAAGAAACAACCCTGGCACAAAATGGAGCTACGGGTAACACACACACACACACACACACACACACACACACACACACACACACACACATACACACACACACACATACACATACACACATACACACACAAACACATGCATGTACACTTTTCCAAGAAAAAGCCTTCTGGATAAAATGATCTGAATAAGATTGTCAGCTAAATGACTAAATCACTGTGTGTGTGTGTGTGTGTGTGTGTGTGTGTGTGTGTGTAGGAGCAGGAACTGGTGAAGATAGTAGGGCTAAAATATGAGGTTGGTCTCCCCTCTCTCTGCTGCCTCAAACTGGCCTTCCTGGACCCTGATACTGGCAAGCTGACTGGAGGCTCCTTCTCCATGAAGTAACCATACCTTTCTCTGTGTTATCTCTGTGTCTTAGTGTCTCTGTGTTCTCTCTGTGTCTTAGTGTCTCTGTGTCTTAGTGTCTCTGTGTTCTCTCTGTGTCTTAGTGTCTCTGTGTCTTAGTGTCTCTGTGTTCTCTCTGTGTCTTAGTGTCTCTGTTCTCGCTGTGTCTTAGTGTCTCTGTGTCTTAGTGTCTCTGTTCTCTCTGTGTCTTAGTGTCTCTGTGTCTTAGTGTCTTAGTGTCTCTGTGTTCTCTCTGTGTCTTAGTGTCTCTGTGTTCTCTCTGTGTCTCAGTGTCTCTGTGTTCTCTCTGTGTCTTAGTGTCTCTGTGTTCTCTCTGTGTCTCAGTGTCTCTGTGTTCTCTCTGTGTCTTAGTGTCTCTGTTCTCTCTGTGTCTTAGTGTCTCTGTGTCTTAGTGTCTTAGTGTCTCTGTGTTCTCTCTGTGTCTTAGTGTCTCTGTGTTCTCTCAGTGTCTCTGTGTTCTCTCTGTGTCTTAGTGTCTCTGTGTTCTCTCTGTGTCTCAGTGTCTCTGTGTTCTCTCTGTGTCTTAGTGTCTCTGTGTTCTCTCTGTGTCTTAGTGTCTCTGTGTTCTCTCTGTGTCTTAGTGTCTCTGTGTTCTCTCTGTGTCTCAGTGTCTCTGTGTTCTCTCTGTGTCTCAGTGTCTCTGTGTCTCAGTGTCTCTGTGTGTGTGTGTGTTACTAACGTGGTATCGGTGTGTTGTCATAGATACCACGACATGCCTGACGTGATTGACTTCCTGGTTCTGCGACAGCAGTTTGATGATGCGAGAGACCACCACTGGACCATAGGTCAGTCTCTTTCTAAGGGCTCTGTGTCTCTGGTAGGCCCATAGAGATGGATAGAGGTCTCATCATTGTATCTATGCTGTTATGGTGTGTGTCATTTAAACTGCTCCATTGTCTTCTTCTTTTGTGTTTGAAAAAAGTGTAAAGCTAATGTTGGTGATTTACCGCCACCTACAGTGCTGGAGTCCTGAACCAAATCTTGGCATTAATTTATTGTGGCCACTAGATGGTGACAGTGATATATATCTTAAAGCCGTTTCCAAACCAGGGAACCCAATTTGAAGAAGCAGCCAATGCTCTGATCATTGGCTGATTGCGCCCAACCCATAGGAATCCCCGCCCAGTTGGCTACTTTAAAATGGTGGAAGCCCTCAATGTCCATGTCAATGTCCATGTCCATGCTAAAACGGGTTCTATCCAAGTTGAGTCTTCTATCTCTATGGGTGAGCCCTCTATCTCTATGGGTGAGTCCTCTATCTCTATGGGTGAGTCCTCTATCTCTATGGGTGAGCCCTCTATCTCTATGGGTGAGCCCTCTATCTCTATGGGTGAGCCCTCTATCTCTATGGGTGAGTCCTCTATCTCTATGGGTGAGTCCTCTATCTCTATGGGTGAGTCCTCTATCTCTATGGGTGAGTCCTCTATCTCTATGGGTGAGTCCTCTATCTCTATGGGTGAGCCCTCTATCTCTATGGGTGAGTCCTCTATCTCTATGGGTGAGTCCTCTATCTCTATGGGTGAGTCCTCTATCTCTATGGGTGAGCCCTCTATCTCTATGGGTGAGCCCTCTATCTCTATGGGTGAGTCCTCTATCTCTATGGGTGAGTCCTCTATCTCTATGGGTGAGCAACAAAATAAAAAACAGTAGCATTCTGAGGTGGAGCTACTCGTTGTCTGGATGGATTAGATGGGGTTTCTGTTCTGTTTCTGATTCTGTTCTGTTTCTGATAAATATATTAGAAACAACTTAAATATGAATTTAAGTTGTTGCACCAATGAATGTACTAATGGATTTTATTTCATAATTTTAACTACATAGAAAAGAACCCAGGTTTGTTTATTTTGTAATTCCCTTGTACTGAGAGATAAAATGAACTTGTCCAATCCAGGTGACAGGTTCAGGTCAGTGATAGATGATACCTGGTGGTGTTGTAATGAGAAGTGACCTTGTCCCATCCAGGTGACAGGTTCAGGTCAGTGATAGATGATACCTGGTGGTGTTGTAATGAGAAGTGACCTTGTCCCATCCAGGTGACAGGTTCAGGTCAGTGATAGATGATACCTGGTGGTGTTGTAATGAGAAGTGACCTTGTCCCATCTAGGTGACAGGTTCAGGTCAGTGATAGATGATACCTGGTGGTGTTGTAATGAGAAGTGACCTTGTCCCATCCAGGTGACAGGTTCAGGTCAGTGATAGATGATACCTGGTGGTGTTGTAATGAGAAGTGACCTTGTCCCATCCAGGTGACAGGTTCAGGTCAGTGATAGATGATACCTGGTGGTGTTGTAATGAGAAGTGACCTTGTCCCATCCAGGTGACAGGTTCAGGTCAGTGATAGATGATACCTGGTGGTGTTGTAATGAGAAGTGACCTTGTCCCATCCAGGTGACAGGTTCAGGTCAGTGATAGATGATACCTGGTGGTGTTGTAATGAGAAGTGACCTTGTCCCATCTAGGTGACAGGTTCAGGTCAGTGATAGATGATACCTGGTGGTGTTGTAATGAGAAGTGACCTTGTCCCATCCAGGTGACAGGTTCAGGTCAGTGATAGATGATACCTGGTGGTGTTGTAATGAGAAGTGACCTTGTCCCATCCAGGTGACAGGTTCAGGTCAGTGATAGATGATACCTGGTGGTGTTGTAATGAGAAGTGACCTTGTCCCATCCAGGTGACAGGTTCAGGTCAGTGATAGATGATACCTGGTGGTGTTGTAATGAGAAGTGACCTTGTCCCATCCAGGTGACAGGTTCAGGTCAGTGATAGATGATACCTGGTGGTGTTGTAATGAGAAGTGACCTTGTCCAATCCAGGTGACAGGTTCAGGTCAGTGATAGATGATACCTGGTGGTGTTGTAATGAGAAGTGACCTTGTCCCATCCAGGTGACAGGTTCAGGTCAGTGATAGATGATACCTGGTGGTGTTGTAATGAGAAGTGACCTTGTCCCATCCAGGTGACAGGTTCAGGTCAGTGATAGACGATGCCTGGTGGTTCGGGACCATCGAAGACCAGGAGCCCTTCCAACCAGAGTACCCAGACAGCCTGTTCCAATGCTACAACGTCTGGTAGGTTATAACACCTCTATGAGCCTTCATAACCCTATAACCCTTCAGAACGCCAGACAGACTGTTCGTTTTACTACATCTGGTAGATTATAACCCTGCATTAACATTTATGACATGAAACAAAACCTTTATACAACTTTTTTTTGAAAATATATATATATCTTTATTAGGGGTGTAACGATCCATCTACTACATCGATGTATCGATTTATATTCCTATGATCCAACTACATCGATCTGTGCTCGGCGAGTTGGCCTTTTGGACAACATATATCAATCTAACATAGTTTTAAAATGTAATAAATCGATTGTATCGATACTAGGAAATAACCCATTGGATTTAAGCACGTCAGACTTTATATGGATTTTTTTTCTTAGCACTTTTAATGATAAAGGCTTTAAACATTACTCGATTCAGTCTGCCTATCCGTGACATCATCGCCCTGCGCCAGCAGCAGCGCAAAGGCGCCAAGACAACAAAACATAGCATGGCGGACGACAGAGGAGAAGCCGACGAGCGAGAAATTATCAAGCCACCATTGCGGTCCTTACAAGAAACAGGAATCTAGGAAACTTCACCTGCACTGTCCAATATCCAGGTATTTATTTCAGTCACACTGGTTGAATTTTTGGCTAAAAGGTTACTGAATCGATTTCAAGTCACTGAATCGTTTCGGATCGGATCGTTCTAAATGAACCAATATCGTCCTTGAATCGTATCGACAACCACGAATCGTGATACAAATCGAATCGTTGTTAAAACGAATCGTTACACCCCTAATCTTTATTGATTTGACAAAAACACAAACATCAACACCTGTTATAAACCTTTAGCATGATGATGATGTGTTTCCTGTATAGCTGGGATGATGATGATGATGATGATGATGATGATGATGTGTTTCCTGTCTAGTTGGGATGATGATGATGATGATGATGGTGATGATGATGATGTGTGTCCTGTCTAGCTGGGATAACGGCGACACAGAGAAGATGAGTCCTTGGGACATGGAGCCCATCCCCAACGAGGGTAGGACACACACACACACACACACAAGCACACACTTGTTAAAAAACCAGGTAAATGCCTGTTTCTGTTGTTCTGATGATGTGTGGTCCCTCAGTAGTCTGTTAATCTGATGATGTGTGGTCCCTCAGTAGTCTGTTGTTCTGATGATGTGTGGTCCCTCAGTAGTCTGTTAATCTGATGATGTGTGGTCCCTCAGTAGTCTGTTAATCTGATGATGTGTGGTCCCTCAGTAGTCTATTAATCTGATGATGTGTGGTCCCTCAGTAGTCTGTTGTTCTGATGATGTGTGGTCCCTCAGTAGTCTGTTTGTTCTGATGATGTGTGGTCCCTCAGTAGTCTGTTGTTCTGATGATGTGTGGTCCCTCAGTAGTCTGTTGTTCTGATGATGTGTGGTCCCTCAGTAGTCTGTTGTTCTGATGATGTGTGGTCCCTCAGTAGTCTATTAATCTGATGATGTGTGGTCCCTCAGTAGTCTGTTGTTCTGATGATGTGTGGTCCCTCAGTAGTCTGTTGTTCTGATGATGTGTGGTCCCTCAGTAGTCTGTTGTTCTGATGATGTGTGGTCCCTCAGTAGTCTGTTGTTCTGATGATGTGTGGTCCCTCAGTAGTCTGTTAATCTGATGATGTGTGGTCCCTCAGTAGTCTGTTGTTCTGATGATGTGTGGTCCCTCAGTAGTCTGTTGTTCTGATGATGTGTGGTCCCTCAGTAGTCTGTTGTTCTGATGATGTGTGGTCCCTCAGTAGTCTGTTGTTCTGATGATGTGTGGCCCCTCAGTAGTCTGTTGTTCTGATGATGTGTGGCCCCTCAGTAGTCTGTTGTTCTGATGATGTGTGGCCCCTCAGTAGTCTGTTAATCTGATGATGTGTGGTCCCTCAGTAGTC